TTGTCCAATATGTTTTTAATGTCTAGTGTATGTTATATATCTGATTGTTATATGTAATGTTGTCTTTTTAACTGGAAGGAATAAAATTGAAATTGAATAACCTAATTGTATGTCCCATTAAATCATGTTTGGAATAAGTAATACGTGGTTGTTATGTTCGCACGTTTCAATATGTTACGCAAAGGCTAATGAAATTGCCTTTTTGTCGACTTTTAGAAAACAGTTGCTATTGTGTTGACATATGTAGTTTCCGAAGGGAAAAGGTGCATTGGAGAAAAACAGACATTTGCGATATCGTTGTACTCAACAAACAGTAGAGCTGGCCATACATACATACATAAGTCACAGTCCACTGACCAAATTGCCAATTTGAGATTCGCCTAGATTTAGCCATCACATTTTTCAAACAGTCAAAGCTTTTTACTTATTGGTCCGATTTATTTGAAACTTTCGACATTCTGTTTGCGTAATTCTTTTTGTATACAAATATAATTATTACAAGGGTTGGATTACCCTGCAATAGTTACCAGATATGTTGTCTTGCATTTTGAATCCGCAATTTCACCGAGAATCGAGAGTCTACAAATTGGTTAAATCGACTTCACTATTCGTAAAAACCACTTGGTGGTAAAAGTACACAATACAATGGACAAGGAAGTAAAACAAGGTTGAAGTAATTGGTATGTTTAATTAAAAGAAAGGTACAAAAGCGTAAAAAACATGTGTAAGAACACATCAGTTTATCTTACTAAACGTCTGTTGAGAGCCGGGAGGACGTTATCTCATATACTATTTTAGCTCGCGGCGAACACTTCACGATTTTCCTGCGATCTGATTAACATAAAAAGGACGGTTATATTAGATATGGAAATGTTAAAATGCATTATCTTCCTGATTTAGGTTCTAAAGAACGATAGGAATATTAACAGCCGCAATTTCAGTGCATGGTCTCTTCTAGTATCAATAGAAGCCGAATCGGCTTAAGTCGTAGACAATCGTACTAATGGGCCTGATGTAACTACGATTCTCTATGTATCTCATTCTAATTCTATCACTCTGCGCCTCAGAATAGTTTACTAGATCGATGGCGCATAAAAAATGCTGTATTATTATTCTTTGCCGATTCAGGGCTTCCCCCTCCATTAAGGGAGCATGAAATCTCTTGAAATTTAGATTTATCAAATAATATTACTTTTCAGATCCTCGGCCATTAAGATTATAAATGTTTGAATGTTAATATAAAAATTATATCACAAATTCTTTCAAAATTGGATTGTAGTCATAACGTGTAGTGTTCAGCAGGCTTTAGATTGACATAATGCTCGTATGATAATTTCGTAATCCTAAAGGCATATTGACAGATTTTCAAATAATAACAAAGGTAATGATAACAATATTTTGTTTCATCCTAATTAAGATTACACACCTATATTGTGGACTTATAACTGTATATCTACCTCGTATTTTTACTGTATAGTTATGAAATAAAATGAGTCCAGATTTACCACAATTTAAAACAAACAAAAAAGTTAAATTATCAGTTTTATCACTTCGGGGGTTTCAATCAACGAAAGGATACAAATTGTCTTTTTGCAATGACGAATATCGTCATTGCCTTGTTTTCGTTCACGTTCTTCCAAATTAATATTCTTCTTCTTCTTCTTCCAAGGAAATCGCATTCGTTTTGCACGTAGTGTTTGTTATTCCTAGTTAGGTGCTTTCCTCATGTCCATTTCCGTTCAAATTTCATAGGCATAGTCTTTAGCATCTCATCAAGGTCACCTACTTTTTCGATTTTCGAAATCACTCATGCATATTACCATCCAGGCGCCATTTTGTCCGTTTCTGGTCCATTTTAAGGCCTTTCTATCATCCTTCCTATCTCCACTATCCTAGATCCTGCAAACTTCTAATAAATTCATCTAGATAGTCTAAGAGATGTTCTTTCATCTGCGATGATTAACCTGACCTTCAAAATGCCATCTTCGTACTCAAAATTCAAATCTGAAACCGACTCCGTCAAAAATCTTTAAAATTCTTGAAAAGGGGACCCCTACAAATCTAAAACTGCCATAACTTTCTCATAAAAATTCTGTTTTGTATTAAAATCTTACAGTATCTTTATCTCATAATTGCAGATAGCCATGCCTAATTTCACGCTCCAATGGCTATGCAAAACATAAATAGCGCCCTCTAAAGTTCTGGGAATTGGCTTTTTTGCTGTGGCCGTATCTCCATTATGGCTTGGCAAACCCGTACCTTTTTTTTTATTTAGATACTCGAAGATATGCCCTTTCCAGTCATATACAAAATTATATATACCCTAATATTGACCAAATTTGAGAAAATTGCCCTCCAAATATGCAGTTTTCAAGGAAATTGCGAAATAACTTCAACTTGCTCTAAAATTATGATCCTTCGATCTATGTCAATGAAACTTGGCAGACAGATATATTCATATACGTGACAACTGTCTGCCAAGTTTGGTAAATTTCAATGACGTCAGCGCAAAGTTATCGGCAAAAATGATGAATTTACTATGCATTACGTAATAGCGCGTTTAATGCGTGCAATACATTGCGCACAGATGACAATGGTGTTAAACTGACCGCAATTAAGTGCCCTTTAGAATGATACCGAGTATGGTATATGTTCACACAAAAAATTGTGAGTAAATCGCATTTTAGACACCATATTATACTGTTTATGATTATGTTAGTATAGATGACCGTTAGTGCCAAATCGCCCGTCATTGCACGCATATCGTTGTGCCACGATTGCAGGTCTAGTTCTAGATGTGATCAGAAAATAACCCCTTTAAAATTACGTTTATAAATTTATATTTTTTTTTTATGCTTTCCGTACTTAAGTTTCAGGTAAAAATGTACTTTTGACAATTTGTGTTCATTAAGCAAAGACTTGAAAGAGAAATCTTGATTTGTTTATATTGTTTAAAGTTCATTATCTAAGAGAAAGCGTATGTAATTATTTAATGGCACTTATTCTGCATATTAAGAGTATAAGTGATCTACTGCTACACACTTTCTATTTCATTTGTATTGACTTTCTTCTAATTGAACTTCCATGCTCAGCCTAAACACAAAACAAAGCGAAATAAAAGGAAATGGAATAGAAACCACATGAGAGATATAGATTGTGCATTACAAAGTTAATAAAAACACACGACTTTAAAAGGTTCACGATCGCAAAGACTTTCAAAAATGTATCCACAGAGCATATTCAAAACCCTTTGTATGCAAAATTAATCATATTCCCATCATTTAGTGCCTGGGTACAGCGTTGCAATGTTCTCACATTTGAATAGTTGATGGAAAAGGCTATAAACATTGTCAGAGGCGGCCGAGCGACTTCCAAATTGGAGGGGGGGGGGCACCAACAAAAAAGGGCACTTTCTGGAGAAAAAAAGGGCACCTACAGTGGGAAATCTCAAAGCGAAAATATACAATTTTTTAGACATTGGTATGTACCCCTACATTGTGATTACATTATCAAGGGATGATTTCAATATTTGTTTCTCTTCATACATCATACAATATATCGCTTAAGCATCATACTTTACAGTTGGGTGTGATGTCTGAATATGCATTTACGAGCGAGCGAAGCGAGCGAGAAAATTTGTAAAGATCTGTGAGTTCGCAGTGCGAAAAATTACATCTTATAAAGAGGAAAAAAACAACAATCGTGATGGGGTTATAAGCACATTCTCATAACGGAAGACTGAAAAGACCTTTGATAAGTAACATAATTATATCATCTTAAAATGCGAGCGAGCGCAGCGAGCGAACTTTGGGGGACATTGCTTTTAGTCGCTTTAAATATGGGGCACTTATAATGATTACATGAAAAGGGGACAATTATCGAAAGGGATAAGACACTTATTAGAAAAGAAAAGGAGCACGTGTCAAAGTACAAAGGATAATTATAAGAGGTGAAAATGAGGCATTTTTTCACCTGAAAAGAGGCACTCACCAGTGATGAAAAAGAGGCGTTTACGAAAATGGGAAATAGGCACTTGTTGACGGAAAAGGGGCACCCATCAGATTTTGATAGGGGCATTTATAAGAGGTGAAAAGGGGATAGGTCCCTCATTAAAAAGGAAAAGGGGCACGTATCATTATTAAAAGGGGAATTATCAGAGTTGAAAAGGGACATTGACCAGATATGATAAGGGGCACTTAAGAAAATGTAAAAGGGGCACTTATAATAAAGGAAAATATGCATTTGTTGAATGAAAAAGGGGCACCGTTCTGATTTTTAAAAGGGGCAGTTATGAGAAGGGGAAGGAGCTCTTTCTTTTTAATGGGGGCACTTATCATAAGGAAATGGGGCACTTATTAGAAAGGGAAAGGGGTAGTTATGAGAAGGGGAAGGAGCTCTCTCTTTTTAATGGGGGCCCTTATCATAAGGAAAAGGGGTGCTTATTAGAAAATAAGAGGGGCACATGTTAAAATGAAAGGTGTGCTCATCCGAATTTAAAAAAGGGGTAGTTATTAAAAGGAAAAGGGGCTCTTCTTACAAAGGAAAAAAGGGGAAGTTGTCAAAGTATAAGGAGCACCCCTCAGTTTTGAATAGGGCAATTATCAGAGGTGAAGGGGGCACTTATTAAAAGTGAAAAGGGGCACTTTTCGTAACCGAAAAAAGGCACTTACTACAGATTAAAAAGGGCACTTATTCAAGATAATTTCAAGATTGATGAGAATGGAAAATGGACACTTATTGCAAAGGAAAATGGGAACATGTCGAAGGAAAAGGGGCACGTGTGAAAAATAAAAAGGGCACTCGTCAGAGTTGAAAAGGGGAAAGGAGGACTTTTACTAAGTAATAGGGGCACTTGTCAAAGTAAAAGGGGCACCTTTCCTATGTAAAAGGGGCACTTCTTACAAAATAAAAGGGGCACTTTTCCTATGTAAAAAGGGGCACTTTTGGGGTATCTGAAAAAGTGGGGGGGGGGGGCATTGTGCCCCCCCCCCCCACCTGCCCCCGGGAGGGCCGCCCCTGAACATTGTCTTTGGATGTTTTCTCATAAGTCTTTACGGTCGTCTTTAAAATACTTTTGCGAGAAAGACCGAGGATTTATATATTTTCACCACAATTCTGAGTATACAATGCATACATATTGTTGTGTATATTTCTCATATGACCCCGGTCACGTGACGCATATTCTGCATCCTATTGTCTGGCGAGGATGAAGGCAGCCAGCATGGCCACGCCCATAGCAACGAAGCTGGTTGTCACGGCGGTACCTCCATTGCAGAGGTTGGAGTTGCAGCAGTAGGTACAGATATCGCCTACACAGCCCGAAGCACAGGCAGACTCAGCACAAAAACGTGACACTGTTGATCCTTCTACTATTTTCTAAATGATAACAATAACAACAACAACAATAATAATAGTGATGGTGGTGGTAATAGTTATGTTAACAACAAAAATTATAACAATAATGATAATCATAACAAAAATGTTACTACTACTTGTAACATGGATTATGTCTGTTTTTAGGATAAAAATAATGATTACAAGTTAATGATAAAAGAAATATTATAATATAACAACAAATGCTTAATATGGCTTCTATCATTGATTTGTTTCACAATTTGTATCATACTGAAAATTGTATTTCTTTGTAAATATGTTGTTTCACCTTTTGCACTAGTACAGCTGGAGCAATTAATTTCAAAATGATTTCGCTCCTTACAATGCTTATTTAATAATAATAATGATGATAATAGTAATAATTATAATAATGATAATAATAATGATAATACCGAAAAAAAGTACCATTAAAATTTGATCCGTTGCTGCTACTTCTAGGTGATAGGCTATTTCGAATAAAGGAGCATTTGAAGACCATTCCTTCTTAGGGGCCATCTTCTTCTATGATATTCCTCCACAGTAACATTGGAAAAATGAGGCGGCTCACAAGTTATTTTTCACCTTAACTAGAATACACCCTTCCCTTCATTGGAGATATAATTGCAGAGATGTTTTTAAGTCAAATAACACTTGACTTAAACCAGGAAGCGAAAAACACATTTACAATCAAACCTGCTTTAGTGACCACCTGTCTACAAAGACCCCATTTTTTGCTTCCCTTGAAAATAGTTTCTCATTGAAACATGTACTAACGAAACCTGTCTACAAAGACCACCTGTCTACAAACAACACTGTTTGTGTTTCCCTTGGGCGGTCGTTATAGACAGGTTTGACTGTATACAGGTGTAAAGCCAATTAATATTGTCTAGCATAGGTGAAATCATACTTCCTGTTTGTGAACGAAGGAGGAAAAAAATAAGGAATGACATTTAATGATAATATTAAAAACGATATCCTTCTTGAAAATTTCGAAGGGAAAACAAATTGGGAACATTTCTGTTCATGAGATTAAACAAATACAAGTGGATGTCTTACCAAGCAATCTGAACCAAAACCACCACAAGTGCTTGATGAACTAGTCGGAAAGAAAGGATCGTTACAAGCCCCACCGAAGCACACGTAGCATTCAATGGCCCAGGTACCTGTGTTATAAATGATAATAAAAATATTCTACATTTAAAAACGGGTTCTAGAAAGTAGGCAATCTAAAAAGTGATAACCCTCGGCTAGAAGCGATGATGCACGGCTAAGATGCACGTAATATATAGGTATCTATGGCGCGTGCAAAGACCTTGGGTCTTACATATCTCTTACCCCATTTTGAATAACCATACAAAACTGTCGGTGTTTGTTCATACCGATTTTTTCGCTACTCTGCTTGTGATTGAAAAGAAAATTGGTCAGATTTGTATTTATTTTGAATAATATACTTTTAATTCATTTCTAGTGAGTATTCCTACCACTTTGCACTGTTCACATGCATGCATTGAATTGTTAAAACAGCCTCAATTGCTATCGGCATTCCCCATTGTAACCAATTATTCACTGGGTGGAGAGTAGCAATGTAGATGAATGTCTCACCAAAGGACGTTGGTGTCTGGCTGGGATTCGAACCCCAAACTAAATGCTTCACAGTTTGATAGCGTATCCATCAAGATGCATTTTATCGTACCATGTCTTTTGGTAGATTATACTCTTCACTAGCAAACAACTATTTTCGTAAGAAAAGGAGGCTCTAATACCCTTTCCATTGATTCATTATCACATTTGCCAGATGAATACTGGGGTACAAGAATACTTGGCAAAAGTGAGATGTAAAATAAAAACAGAAACCAGTACTGAAGAATTAAATTGTATTTTATGATTTCCGCAACATTTTATCCATTCAGAGCCGGCATATATGCACTGTTACCGAAATATGAGTTACGTATTAAATCAAATTTTTCTGATGATAATGGATTAGGTCAATAAGAGAAAGCATTATAGTGAATTGGGGAAGAGACGAAGGGAATGAGGGAACGGATTAAGTAAATTAGGGAACGGCATACGTAATAAGGGGAGAATTCAAAAGTGAATAAGGGAATCGACTAAGGTAATTATCAAAGGGATTTTTAATTGAATAAGGAAATGGTGATTGGTAAACGGGATTAGGCGAGGTAGGGAAGGGGTTTAGTGAGCTATCTAAGGTATCAACTGAATAAGGACAAAGGGGTTAACCAAATAAGGAAATGAATTACGTTACCAAGGGCAGTAATTGAGGGAAAGGATTAAGTGAATGAAGGAAGGAAGTCATATTGAATAATTGAGCAGGTTAAGCTAATAAGGGCAGTGATTATGTGATTAAGGGTGAATAGGCAAACGGATCAATTGAATATAGTAATTACTTCAGTGGATAAGGGAAGGCATAAATAGAAGCAAATAGGCCTTACCTACGACCATTGAGATCAAAAGAGCAGGAACATAGAATAACTTCATGACTTACTCGTCTACCTCAACGTATTCTAAAAGATAACACAACAAGAAATTAAATTGATTCTATAATAAACACTTAACGATAATGAAAATTACTTCTTATTTAGACCTATCCTTAATTTGTTTTTCGAAGTTATTTGTGATATTATTCACAATTCAATTTCAATTGAACTCATTGAATATTTATTTCCTTCACAAAAACAAAATTAACAAACCAATGTGTATATATTTACAATGTTGGTATGGTATGGTATGGTATGGTATTTATTGAAACATGTATCACAGTTATATATACTGAATTGCACATGGATATACATTGCATTTAACAACATTTAAAACAGTATAAATTACATAATTATAAGTACACGTATTACGTCACATAAAGGAAAGAGGTTAAAAAGGGAAAGGGAGAGAGAGAGAGAGAGAGAGAAGAGAGGGGGAGGAGGAGAGAGGGGAGGAAAGTAAGAAAAATAGAAAGAAAGGATAAGAGACCGAGAGATATAGTGAAGAAAGAGAAAGAGCAGGAAAGATAGAAAGATGGAGAAAGAGAGAAAAAGAGAGAGAGAGAGAGAGAGGAAGGAGAGAAAGAGGTGAAGGAGAGAGAAAGAGGAAGAACTAAGAGAGAGAGAGAGAGAGCGGCAAGAGGTAAAGAAGGGGGAGGAGAGAAGGGGAACTTGCCAACAATTAAAAATTACATACAAATTGATGATAAAAAAATAAAAGTATGCATTGCAACATTGACATTACGAATAGTACTAATAAGAAGAACAAAAATCTGACTGACATGAGCGCTATACAAGAACCCTCCATTATTATTATTATGGCTTACCTAAAAATTATTTGGTAAGTTGTAAAATTTATAAATGAGAATGTTTTCTTTTTTAACGCAGATGGTAGTAAAAACATTTTAAAAAGTATAACAACAACCTGTTTAAGAAAATATTTATACATAACAACTAAATACAGGCGGATATAGCAGAGAAGCAAGATTCAAAAGGAGTAATTGCAGACCTGCGTAATCTAATAGCGTTAATATAAAACAACGAGCAACCAGAGGCGATTTAAAATAATACATGTAATTATGAAATCGACAGTATACAATACGAAGAGTAAAGATAATTAACTGATAAATTGAGGTAAAGCGTATTGAAAATATTTACATTATGTTTCTAAATTTAGCAATAATATAATTGTTCAATCCAAGATATTTAATTGAATCTGAAATATAATGCATTAAGATTCGACGAATTGTAGATGGGTTCAGGCAAAGATTGCAATTTGAAAATGAATCATAATGACCAAATTGTGATTTAAAAGAGGCTTTAGATAACTGGCAATAATTCATATAAAGAAAAAAAAAAAAAACATGGGAAAGAAGTGAGATTACTAAAGATGACCTTATTTGTATCTTGATACAGAAATTTAAGTTATAATGACAAAAATACATATAATTCACAAAGTTTGGCAGTATTATGCTATCAAAAAAGTTAAACAAACCGGATGCCACATCATGGCTGGTTCAAAAGCCTTACTAGATAGGGTAAAGGAAGTAGGCGAAGTTCCCTAAAAGCACAAGGCTTGAACAGGGAAAGGGCGAAAACAAGAATAGTACAACCAGTACATTGTGAAAACTATCATTTTTGATTTAATACAGCCGAACAACATATATATTTAGGATATTGCAAATTGAATTATTAGTTATTTATATATACATATCTATACAATTATATCAAATTAAAAGATTAAATCTGGTGTCGCCGAAGCCACTGGCCCGTCTCCGTTCAATGTGGATCTTTGATTTAAGCTACACATCCGTAATTGTCTTTTTCCCTTTCGCATTATATACATATATACACACATATATATATATATATATATATATATATGTGTGTGTGTGTGTGTGTGTGTGTGTGTGTGTTTCCTATTCGTCATCTGGTCTAATGACGTCAGACCATATGACAGTTAGACCAAATTGCAATAGAAAGCAAAGGCTTTAACTTTAAAGACAAGATGTAGGGAGTGCTGTGGTAAATTTGTTAATGCCCGTATCTTCATACAAAAGGTTTCGGGTTCGATCCTATCTTGTGTTATTTTGTTAACACATTTGTCCATCTCGACCAGGGAATCCTGGATTCACCATTGAACATGTGAGTTGCATACATTCATGTATGTCACCCAACAGCTTGTCTTATTCTACCCTCACATTTTCACCGCTCTTTTGTTTCCATTCGGTCCATGTCACTATGAACATGACGGACAAAGAAAGAGGACAAACTATACAATTCCTCATTCTACCCTCAACAATTGCTGTGGTAGACAAAGGAACATCCCTTCACTGCTATTATGTAAATTAAGAAGAACAGGTGAATATGCATGTGACATAATTTTGCATAATTCAATTGTGCATAATTCAATTCCGATACAAAAATCATCTTTCATTCTTCCTATTTTTCCAGAGAGAGATAAACAAGCTGTACTGAGGTGTTTTCACGATTTTTATCTGCACTCATTTATTATTTGTTATTCTGTCAAGTGGACACTTCATTACAAATGATGATATCCTTGTTGTGCATGAGACAACTACCACCATAGTCCCCTTTTTGTTAACATAATGTGTTCATACTTCATAGAAAACAGACGGTGGGTATTCCCACCTTTACATCAGGCTACACTGCCGAATCTACTTCCTGTTCTGCTTTATGTGTTTATCTGTTTATCGGCATTTACATTTGTTAAACCTCCTTACGAGGGATTTATTGCTTATAAATTATATACAATGTAAATATTACACAGTTTACATGAATTAACAAATTAACGAAATTTCATACTCGTTAAATATAATTTTCTTCAGAAAAACATCTTTCATCCTTCCTATTATTTTTCCCTTGAGAGATAAAAACAAGCTGTACTGAGGTGTTCTCACGATTTTGTCTGCTTTCCTCTATCATTTTTTATTCTGTAAAAAGGACACTTCATTATAAAAAAGGGGTATTGTTCATAACGGGCCGAAACTCACGGCGACTGGTGAAAGAACAACTGAATGACAGACGGTGGGAATTCACACCTTTATATCAGGCTGTGTGTGTTTCTGTTTATCTGCAATTTTATATTGCATTTGTTTAACACCCTTACGAGGGAACTATTTCTTATAAATAATATGCAATATACATATTACATAGTTTACATGAATTAACAAATTGACGAAATTTAATACTCGTTAATATAATTTTCTTCAAAATTTTGTTTAATTTGCCAAGTTGTCTTCTCTTTACAAGAGATTTTAAATTTTTTTATCAGGTCTCTTCAATTCTAGAAAGATAACAACTGAATTAAGTTGTTGAAATGTATAATCACTTTAAACATACACCTTATAAATTGTTTACTGAGCAAAAGATAAGATAATTTTAGGAAAAATCATATTTTCGTTATCAATAACAAATCCAGTCCTTATTTTTCATTTAAATCGATTTACAAATCATAAACACTAAAGATTTAACTTTTTATTTTACGCTAGAATAATTGAAACATTAGTACGCAGATGTGGTCGACAGGGATACTATAATACATAAAAAAGCAAGACATTTACGTTAATGTCAGTAATGTTAGTGGTTTCAAAAACTATAAACTATATATATATATACTCTCTCACACACGCATATATATATATATATATATTAGATAGCTTTGACAGATACCGAGATGTCATTGTTCCAGCTCGTCACGTGATACCGACTGCGAGGATCATATTTGTTATATTTTCCTGGCCGGTCAATTTCGATGGTTATATTGACCAGCTGGTGAAATGAATATATTTTTAATCAATGTATGTCACCATTTACAAGAGTACACTTTTTTTTCTTTTTTTTTTATCTCGAAATTTGAAATTTTGAAATTTTGTCCAATTGGGAGGGGGGAGGTAAGGTTACCTTATTTTAAGGTCACCCATTGGCATTTTTTTTTCTTTTTTTTTTCTTTATTAAAAAAAAAAATCAAAAGGGGGGGGGGGGTTTCCAAAATAACATACAAAAAAACATACACATAAAAAATACTCGAGGGGGGGGGGTTAAACCCAAAACCACCCCCCTGCGTACGCGCCTGACTCCCTAGGATATATATTTCCACTGTTTTAATTATATATATATATATATATATATATATTACTGAAATATATAAACCTTCACACACATACAAACGCGCGCACACACACGTAGAGGCATTGGCACATGCACACCCGCCAACATGAAACACAAATCGCAAATTAGTAAATGAACCTAAGAAAATGAAAACTGACTCGTGCATTCTCTTTCGAAATGTTCAAACATTACATTTGTCTACCGATCCGAATCAGCTTTCCCTGAGCAATATTATGGCATTTAAATTGCTCTGAGTTGATTGTCTAAAATGAAATTGGGTTTACGTCAAAATGTACACTGTATATGTTGAGCTAAATGTTGAACAAACAACAAATTTAAGCTAACCAATTATGCTATTTTAACACCAAAGCTAACCAATTATGCTATTTTAACGCCAAAGTCGATCAATTAAGAAATGTTCACACCAAAGTCGATTAGTCATGATATCTTGAAACCACCTTCGACCAATCATGATATTCCAATACCACGGGAGACCAATTATCATTATTTTAATACCACATCCGACCAATGATGCTACTTAAACACAAAAGCTGTAGCAGCATCAAATTTCAGTTTAATTTTTGCAGTCATATTCTAAAAAACAAATAAACGACCCGTGTGTGATCCTTTAGCATTTAAAAACATTTCAATTATCTTTACAAAAGGCAAATCGTTCAATTATCAAACTATGACCCCTATCTTAGGGTATCATTTTGAGTCATTGAATGAGCTGACTTTAATATTGGTATACTGGTGTTAAATGGACAGAATGTTATCAAATGTTTTTTCTTCACTGCAAAAATGAAAGTTTATGTCATATATTCACATGGTCTCTTTTAACCCTAAATCTTGTGTACATGCAAGATAAAAGTCATCTCGAAATGTTTACGTGATAG